AAACCCCACGAAACCCCAGGAGACCCCATGGGCCCGACGAGTTGGCGAGCGAAAAATGCACGAAGCGCCTTAGCGGGAGCGCCACTTTCAGAAACAATGTGCGCGGCGCCGATGCGAGTGCGAAATTTCGCCCTTTCGCGCGGGCTGCGCGCCGCGCTCCATTCCTTGCACGCATGTGTACTGCCAGTATGATTACTAGAGGTGTTCAAACTAGTCGTAGTAGTCGTCGTCGTAGTAGTAGTGGTCGTCGTAGTAGTAGTAGCCGTAGTAGACGCAATACCCGTAGTAGTAGTCGTAGTAGTCGTAGTAGTCGTAGTAATCGTAGTAGTCGTAGTAGTCGTAGTAGTAGTAGTAGTAGTAGTAGTAGTAGTAGTAGTAGTAGTAGTAGTAGTAGTAGTAGTGGTCGTAGTACTAGTACTAGTACTAGTACTAGTACTAGTACTAGTACTAGTACTAGTACTAGTACTAGTACTAGTAGTAGTACTAGTAGTACTAGTACTAGTACTAGTACTAGTAGTAGTAGTAAGTAGTAGTAGTAGTAAGTAGAGGAGTAGGAGTAGGAAGGAGTAGGAGTAGGAGGAGTAGGAGTAGGAGTAGGAGTAGGAGTCAAGCTAGCCAGCTCGAGCGAGTCAAGCATGGCATGCCCAGTCCCACCCGCCCTCCCACAACATAAGAAGCAAAGCTGGCACAACTGGGGGCCGAAGTCACACCGGCCAGCCGGTTTGGTACAGCTGATGCGGCCGCGATGGCGGTTGCCGACGGGAACTGGCGAGCGCGTGATGAATGCCGCGCACGCATTGCCAGACGAGTCGAGAATGGCCTGGTACACCGCAGGAAGCCAGAGGTGGCCGGAGGAAGCCCGACGGTCTGACAGGACACCCCACAGCATTTTTGTGAAAAAGCATTGGGTTTTTGATGTTTTTATGTTGAAATGCTTGCAAACACACGGTGTTCGGTAGGATTCTGACATGAACGCGCGAGTGTGCTCTTTGTTGTATTTTTTGCACAGGATTCGCGGCCTGGGTGCATGACAGAGCATCGCGAGTGCACCGCGCGATGACGTGAAATCGCTGGATTTGACAGAATCTTAAGATTCCTATGGTTTTCCTATGATTTCAGCAAGAGAGCCCGGGCGGGAAATTTGTACAATTTTTGTGAAAAAGCATTGGGTTTTTGATGTTTTTATGTTGAAATGCTTGCAAACACACGGTGTTCGGTAGGATTCTGACATGAACGCGCGCGTGTGCTCTTTGTTGTATTTTTTGCAATGGATTATCGCCGTGGACGACAGGACGTCCATGTCGAGAGGAAAAAATAAGAAAAATGTTGATTTTATATTGTTTTTTACAGGTTAGGATGGGACCCCCCGGATGCGGCATCGAATGGCCGGCCTGAGGGGGGAGTAGGAGTATATTCTAATAAGGAATAAGGATAGGAGTAGGAGTAGGAGTAGGAGTAGGAGTAGGAGTAGGAGTCAAGCTAGCCAGCTCGAGCGAGTCAAGCATGGCATGCCCAGTCCCACCCGCCCTCCCACAACATAAGAAGCAAAGCTGGCACAACTGGGGGCCGAAGTCACACCGGCCAGCCGGTTTGGTACAGCTGATGCGGCCGCGATGGCGGTTGCCGACGGGAACTGGCGAGCGCGTGTTGAATGCCGCGCACGCATTGCCAGACGAGTCGAGAATGGCCCGGTACACCGCAGGAAGCCAGAGGTGGCCGGAGGAAGCCCGACGGTCTGACAGGACACCCCAAAGCATTTTTGTGAAAAAGCATTGGGTTTTTGATGTTTTTATGTTGAAATGCTTGCAAACACACGGTGTTCGGTAGGATTCTGACATGAACGCGCGAGTGTGCTCTTTGTGGTATTTTTTGCACAGGATTCGCGGCCTGGGTGCATGACAGAGCATCGCGAGTGCACCGCGCGATGACGTGAAATCGCTGGATTTGACAGAATTCTTAAGATTCCTATGGTTTTCCTATGATTTCAGCAAGAGAGCCCGGGCGGGAAATTTGTACAATTTTTGTGAAAAAGCATTGGGTTTTTGATGTTTTTATGTTGAAATGCTTGCAAACACACGGTGTTCGGTAGGATTCTGACATGAACGCGCGCGTGTGCTCTTTGTGGTATTTTTTTTGCAATGGATTATCGCCGTGGACGACAGGACGTCCATGTCGAGAGGAAAAAATAAGAAAAATGTTGATTTTGTATTGTTTTTTACAGGTTAGGATGGGACCACCCGGATGCGGCCCCTATCTGCCGGCCTGAGGGGGGAGTAGGAGTATATTCTAATAAGGAATAAGGGATAGGAGTAGGAGTAGGAGTAGGAGTAAGGAGTAGGAGTAGGAGTCAAGCTAGCCAGCTCGAGCGAGTCAAGCATGGCATGCCCAGTCCCACCCGCCCTCCCACAACATAAGAAGCAAAGCTGGCACAACTGGGGGCCGAAGTCACACCGGCCAGCCGGTTTGGTACAGCTGATGCGGCCGCGATGGCGGTTGCCGACGGGAACTGGCGAGCGCGTGTTGAATGCCGCGCACGCATTGCCAGACGAGTCGAGAATGGCCCGGTACACCGCAGGAAGCCAGAGGTGGCCGGAGGAAGCCCGACGGTCTGACAGGACACCCCAAAGCATTTTTGTGAAAAAAGCATTGGGTTTTTGATGTTTTTATGTTGAAATGCTTGCAAACACACGGTGTTCGGTAGGATTCTGACATGAACGCGCGAGTGTGCTCTTTGTGGTATTTTTTGCACAGGATTCGCGGCCTGGGTGCATGACAGAGCATCGCGAGTGCACCGCGCGATGACGTGAAATCGCTGGATTTGACCGAATTCTTAAGATTCCTATGGTTTTCCTATGATTTCAGCAAGAGAGCCCGGGCGGGAAATTTGTATAATTTTTGTGAAAAAAAAGCATTGGGTTTTTGATGTTTTTATGTTGAAATGCTTGCAAACACAAGGTGTTCGGTAGGATTCTGACATGAACGCGCGCGTGTGCTCTTTGTTGTATTTTTTGCAATGGATTATCGCCGTGGACGACAGGACGTCCATGTCGAGAGGAAAAAATAAGAAAAATGTTGATTTTGTATTGTTTTTTACAGGTTAGGATGGGACCACCCGGATGCGGCCCCTATCGGCCGGCCTGAGGGGGGAGTAGGAGTATATTCTAATAAGGAATAAGGATAGGAGTAGGAGTAGGAGTAGTAGTAGTAGTAGTAGTAGTAGTAGTAGTAGTAGTAGTAGTAGTAGTAGTAGTAGTAGTAGTAGTAGTAGTAGTCGTCGTCGTCGTCGTCGGTCGTCGTCGTCGTCGTAGTAGTAGTAGTAGTCGTAGTAGTAGTAGTAGTAGTAGTAGTAGTAGTAGTAGTAGTAGTAGGAGGAGGAGGAGGAGGAGGAGGAGGAGGAGGAGGAGGAGGAGGAGGAGGAGTAGGAGTAGGATTGTGTCGGTCATGCCTCCTACAGAGCGGAAACTTGAACACCTTTGTTTTTTTCCCCGCCAGCCTTCCGCAGGAGGCATCCGCAGGTTCTCCAAAAGTACCCGCAGGGACCCCGCAGAGACCCCGCAAGGCATCCGCAGAGGGTTTTTGGGAAAAAATATTTTGTTCCCAAAACCCCTTCTTTTTTTCATCTGCATTGTTTCCCTCTCCGCTTTGCTTTTTCATTTTGTTGCGACTACGTGTGCGGACGCACGCGATTGCGAAGCGTGCGCATGTCCGCGCATTGCTTGCGATATTGCACCAGCGTGCGCGGCGCGGGCACCAGAGCCCCGCTACCAACGCGACGGGCACCAGCCCACCGCTACCGCTACCAGCTCCGCTACCAGCGCGACGGGCACCGCTATCTCCAACAATGCAACAAGTTTTGCGAGGACAACAGAGCTCCGCTACCAGCACGACGGGCAACTACACCCGAACCATTCGCGCAATACGGCGCGTTTCTGCATCAAGCCAAAATGGCAACCTCCTCCTCTCCTCCTCTCCTCTCCTCCTCTCCTCCTCTCCTGCTCTCCTCCTCCTCTCCTCTCCTGTCTCCTCCTCTCCTCTCCTCCTCCTTCTCCTCCTCCTCTCCTCCTCTCTCCTCCTCTCCTCCTCTCCTCCTCTCCTCCTCTCTCCTCCTCTCCAAAAATACACTCCTCCTCTCGTCTCTTCTCCTCCTCCTTCTCCTCCTCCACCTCCTCCCCTTCTCCTCCTCCTCCTCCTCTCCTCCTCCTCCTCTCCTCCCCTCTCCTCCTGCTCCCCTGTCCACGTCCTTCCCCTCCTCCTCTTCACCCTCCTCATCCTCCTTGCTCGCCTCCCCCTCGTCCTAACCATCCTCACACCCCTCGCTGCAAGCCTAGTAGCCCCCTTCCCCACCCTCCTCATCAAACCCTCCTCGCATTGATCCATCCTCCCCTCATTCTGTCGTCCTCCCATCATATATCCCTCCTCATTCCCACGTTGCCTCCTCCTCCTCCTCCCCCTCCTACCTCCTGCCTCATGCCTCCCCTCCCCAACTCTCTCCTTCTCGTCCTCCTCACCTCGTGCCTCATCCCCCTGCTCGGCCCGCGGTCCAGCGGGCGGTCCTGGCACGAGGCCGAACGCGTCGCCCAGCGGGCCCGAGGGCCCCACCCGACCGCGCGACGACGACGACGACGACCCCCCCCCCGACGACGAGGAGCATGATGATAAGGGGGATGAGGCCAGTGCCGAGGATACTGAAGAGAATGGGGGAGGGCACTTAAGAGGACTACGCTGAGCCTGAGAATGAGGGATACGAGTAACAGGATGAGGGCGATGACGATAAATACGATGAGGGTGATGTTAGTGCGGGCAATGGTGAGGACGAATGTGATGAGGATGAGCATGAGAACGAGGAGGCTAAGACACGTGATGATGGTGCTATGTTTGATTTCTTGGGCCCGTTACTTGTTATCCTGTGCCCACCGTGATTGACAATATATGATTGTATGGTGTTTTCTTCCTTTTCTAACTCCCCCAACCGACTGAGCACCGTTCACGGTGCGTTCTTACTACTGCAGTTTGGAGGCCTTCGCGGCGCGGTCGATCAGGGCCTGCGGCATCGTCGTCCACGATGCACCCGTCTTGGTGCTCATCGTTTTCAGGGCGTGGTTTGTTTTTGTATTCCTCTTTCGTGTATCTCGTCGCGAAGAGGGTGCACAGCAGGCCTTCTACGTTAGACTGCGCGAGGCTCTTGGTGATATCCGTCGCTTTCTTCTTGATGTCTGGGTTCACCATCCTCGTGAAGCAGCTGGCGGTCTCCTCGTATGCCTTCTGAAGAGTTTTGTTGGCGTCGATCTCCTCTTTGTAGCTGTCCGACTTCCTGCTGCACACGGTGGTCGCCCCCTTACTGAGCACCTCGTCGAGGTCAGTAGCGTCGCTCACGGACTCCCACCACGATTCTCCATCAGCACCGCCCTTGGCCCACTTCTGAGCGAGATCCAACCGACTGCCGAGCTGCGTCTCTGTCGTCGTCATGGCCTTGTCGGCGCTGGTGGTCACGTAGTCGTTGACCTCGTTCACCGCGGCCGCGATGCGCGGATCGATGTTGGCCTGGCCAATGGTGTCCGCGGCATTCTGGAGCTCCAGCTTCTTCAAGAGGAGGGTCTTCATGGCCTGCATCTTCTTCGGGCCCGTATCGTCGGCGCCGGGGGACTCGCCTTCGCCAGAGAGCGCGGCGTGCGCAGCCTGGCTGGACTTCGCCTCGCAGGCCGCGTAGAAAGCTTCGAAGGTGTTCTTCATCCCGCCGTCCGTGAACTCAGCGATGCCGACCATGAGATCTGCAATCGCTGCCGTGTCCGTGGCATCGTCGGCCTTGATGTTGTTCCATACGTCCTCGCAGAAGGTCTGGATATCACCCTTGGCAACGTCGTCGAGCGAGGTCTCATTGACGGCTTCCAACTCCCCACTGATGATTCTCACTTTCTCGATGTCGACCTTCCCCGTGTCGTCCTTGGCGCCACCTGCCAAGTGATGCTTGATGTCATCGATGAGCTGTTTCGCGCCGATCTGATCGATCACGGCCTGGATGTCGTGCGTCGCCCTCTCGCCGAACTCCTCGTTCATGGCCTTGAGCTTGACGCCTTCCTTGAACATGATCTCCGCAGCCACCAGCGCGTCCTTGCTGTAGTCAGCCCCCCCCCCCTTGACCACGCCGCCCTTGTCGAACATCACATCGTAGATCGTCCCGAGTAGCCCGCTGCAAGCGACCTCCAACACGTGCCCTGAGCCTGGCCTCAAGAGCTCGCGGCAGGTCTTGATGATGACGAAGGCCTCGTTGATGGCTTCGTTGGGCAGCGCGATGGCTGCCACGTTCTTCTGGAGGTCTCTTAACACACTGGCCTGCTTGAACATCTTCGGCATCAACTTCTTGGCGTCCTGCAAGGTGCTCTTCATCATGTCGTAGACTGGCTTCCAGTCGCCATTCATCCTCAGGAGCACGCCCAGGTCCGCGAGGCCCCCCTTGCATTTTCTCTCCTGCTGCAAGAAGAACTCCTCGATGGTCTCGAAGTCCACCTGGCAGGTGGTGTCGCAGACGGCGCACGTGACGCGGAGCACCTTCAGCGAGTCCATGGCTTCGGGAGGGACCTCGGGTAAGTCCTCCACGGCCTTTTCGAAGTGGTCCAGCATGGCCCCGGACAGGCGAGCCGATGCCGCTTGACCGCCCTCGCCCACCTTCAGCGTCGCAGGGGCGATCTCCTTCAAGAGCACGTTCAAGAGCAGCGCGGCCCTGGATTGCATCGTACCATCGATGGTCGACATAGAGACATTCATGGGGTCGAACTCCTGGTGCTCGGTGGCTATCATCTCCACATCAGGTTCGCCATCCACCATCTCCCCGTCGGCCGTCACAGGTTTGTCGAACTTGAACGGCATCACGGTATCCACGATATCGGCGATGCAGGCATCGTCCACGTCACCCGACGAGAATGCTATAATCGACGAGTACAATCTCTTCCCCAGGAGCTTGCTCTTGATATTCGAATCGAAATCGACCTTTGCAGCCGCTAGCTTCTGCAAGTTGCACTTGAGGTCGTCGAAGGTCGTCGTCTCGTTGCCAAGGTCTATCATCAGCTGCATGCAGATGTCGATGCGGTCGATGTGCTCCTCGAGGTGGTTGGCCTTCACGGCCTCGCCCTGGCCCGCCACGCGCTTGACGCAGTCCCTCGCCCAGCCCACCTGCCTCTTCAAGGGACTGCCCGCGAACACCTTCGACGGCGTGAGGGTTTCGTGCCAGTACTCGGGCGGCTTCAAGCGGCCCTCTCTCTCCGTCAGACCAGCGCAGGTCTCGGCGATCGAGGGCGCGGCCAACGAGCCCGACTTGGCCCTCTTCGGCGGCGGCCCAATCGCGCCCGGGCTAGCCCCTGGCGAGGGCTGAGGGGCCTGAGCCTTGGCCTCACTGTCCGCCGCCCTTGCCGCCGCGCTCATCGCTGCCTTAGGCGTTTCTGGCACCTCCTCTGGGCTGTGGCTCGGCGCTGCCGCCGCCGACGCCGCGCTAGCTGCCAGCTGCGCTGCGGCGGCGCCGCTGGATGGTTCTTCTCCACCCCCGCTCCCTGCATCGCTGGAGGCCCCATCCGAAGCAGAGTCGCCACCTGCAACGCCGTCGCGCACCATGCGGCGCAAGCCCTCGGGCCTCGCCAAGTTCTTCTTGACGAGCATTCTGATCTTATCCCTGCTGTAGGCGGTGAACTTCTTGGATTTCGGCTGGTACTTGTTCCCGAACCTCTGGCCGAACGCGCGCGCCCGATCAGCCGACATGTTCTCGAAGAGGGTGGAAGCTTGGCTCTTGTAGTAGTGCATGGCCTTCGTCATAACAGGCGTCCTCCTGACGAGCCTCCTCGTCGTTTTCACCGCCGGCGTCGGGGGCTTCACCACGTCCTGCAAGATCACCACGCCGAAGGAGTCCTCGCCCTGTGCGTTCGTCACGCGCAACGTCACCACCTTCGCCTGGTCTGGCAAGCAGTCGTGCTCATCCTTGAAGTCGTCGCGGGGCTGGAACGTGTACTCCTCCGTCAAGGAGCTCTCCTGGACCGTCTCCCCGTAGACTTCCTCAGTGGGGAAGCCCCTCGTGTCCTCGGCCTTCTGCTTGCCAGCCTTCCACTCCCCTTTGGTTGCCTTTTTCTCCTTCCATTTTCCTGGCGCCTTGGCCTTCATCGTTGCCAGCACTTTCGGTTCGTAGCCAGACTCATCGGCAAACTCCACGCACTCGTGGCACAGGCAGTGCCCCTGGTACTTGACGCATTGCGATTGGGGCACTACGAGCTCGCAGAAGCCGCAAGTTGCTTTGCCTCGGCCTCCTTTTCTCACCACGCTGCCTGCAGCAGTACGCATCGGCTGCCACTAAAGTGGCTCTGTGTCAGGCCGCTCACTGCCCTCAGTGTGGGCCCGTTCGGCACTCGAGTAAGTGGCCGTGTCAACCTCAAAACACGTTCAGCACAAATGGCTACGGAGGAGGATAGAGTGGACGGACGAGGAGGAGGATATGACAGACCATGTAGCCTCATAGCTGCCCCACGGCCTCACACTGAGGACCTCGCGCTGACACCCTGAGTCGACCGTCGGAGCTACCTCTTTTGGCTACCTCGTGTGCCGAAGCTGGCCCATCGGCACTTCCGAACAACAAGATGGTTAGCTAGAGCGGGCCCCAAACAGTGTGTTCGAATCTACAATGCGAAATCTATGTTACGCAATCTATGCGGTGCTATCTATGCGGTGGCATCTATGCGGGCACCCCATAGGGTGTAAGCTCTGTGGTGCAATCTATGTGGCGCAATCTATGTGACCCAACCTGTGCGGAGCAATGTGCGTAGTGCAACGAATGATGCGACACCCATGCGGTGCAATTTATGTGGCGCAAGCGATGGGGCCAAGGGCAAAGGGCCCAAGAGAGGCCCAATAGGGCCCCGAGAGGAGCCCAAGAAAGGCCGTGGATGATCCCACCAACCAGCTATTTTTTTATGATGTGTTTTTTTCGTTCGTGGGGCCAGGTATTGTTTAATGGGCGTCCTCTTAGGGTCCCTCTTGGGCCCCCAAGCCAGCGCAAATATTGGTTTTAAAAATGGTTCCAAGTTGGCCCCGAGAGAGGCCCAAGAGGGGCCCGAGAGAAGCCCAACAGGGGCCCGAGAGGAGCCCACCAACCTGCTAATTCTATGCGTTTTTCGTTCGTGGGGCCAGGGGTTGTTTAAGGGATGTTAGGGGCACCTCTTCGGCCCCTAAGATGGCCCCAAGAGGGGTCAAAAAGGGCCCCAAGTGGGCCCCGAGAAAACTCCAAGAGAGCCCTAAGAGGGCCCCCCAGAGACCGCTGCGGGGTCTCATCAAAACACGCTGTTTGATCAGACCCACCAAAGGTTTCTTGGGGCCCTCTTGGGGCTTGCATGTGGCCCTCTTGGGCTCCTCTGGGGGCCTTCTTCGGGGCCCTGGGACCCCTTCGGAATGTTCCTAGGGGCCCAAGCCCGAGACACGGGGGTGGGCACATCCGCGGCGTCCTCATCCAACCGGAGGAATCCCCCGCGGCGTCCTCATCCCACCGGAGGAATCGCACGAGGTACCTGGAGGGAAATCGTGCCATCCCGCGTGCTCTTATCAGTTCCAGAGAGGGAAATGTTGTTATGTTTTTTTTTTACCTGCACGTCGCACTCGGTTCCAGAGAGGGAAATTCTGGTTTACTTGTTTCCCTCTGCTGTTGTTTTTTCCCCCTCTGCTGTGTTGTTTTTTCCCCCTCGGGCCCCTGTGGTTTGCGAGGGGGAAAAACAGATCGACAGATTTCCCCCCCGCGTCGTCGTGCGCGTTGCGGAGGAAATACATTTTCGGGAACGACCCGCAACAAGGACACGCCTGGGCCACAGAGCCTCACTGCTCCCGCACAGCGCGCGCCCCCCGCGCAGCGTTCCTCCTGATCATCCTCCTCCTCCACCTCCTCCTCCTCCTCCTCCTCCTCCTCCTCCCCCTCCTCCTCCCGCCCCCTACCCCCCCCTGCCTCCTCCTCCCCCTCTGCTCTCCTCCTCCTCCTCCTCCTCCTGCTCCCCCTCCTCCTCATCATCCTCCCCCTCCTCTTCCTCCTCCTCATCCTCCTCCTCCTCCCCCCTCCTCCTCCTCCGCCCTCCTCCTCCTCCTCGGGCCTCATTGGGGTTCCCTTGGGGCCGCATTAGGGCCCTCCTAAGTGCGCATCTTAAGGCATCCGTCGGGCTCTCTTGGGGCCTCCCCGAGGGCCTCCCTGAGGGCATCTCTTGGGGCCTCCCCGAGGGCATCCCTGAGGCCTATCCAGTGGCCTTTCCTTTTTTTCTGCCACAGCGAACCAAGTATTCAACCGCAACATTCATCGGTCCTCACGGAGCCTCCAGCGGCTCGTCTGGCTCGTGGAGCCTGAGCGCACGCTCGCACCTGAACAGTAAGTCGCTGCCAGGCATTGCGCGCAGCTCGTCGCGCGACGCTTGCCTTAGCGCAAGCGGCAAAGGGCAAAAATGCACGTGGGTGGCCTGCGTGTCGCAGAAAGGCTCCGCGCTCTGCTTCAGCCACGCCATGAGGGCCCCGAGAGGCCGACCTTGAGCGGCTCTGTTCGGCCGATCTGATCCACGACACGTCCTAGTCATTCGGCACTTCGACCCATGAACGTGGCAATGGGCAACTAAGTCGTCCTTCTTGGCGTAGTATCTGATGACGCCGCAGGGCGTCATGAACGTGACGTCGGCTGGCTCGCTGGGCCCGCGAGGCACGCCATGGGGCCCTGGAGGCGGTGGGTCGTCGTCGTCCCCGCCTCCGCTCGGGCCCCCGCCGTCGCCGTCCTCGCTGTCGCCTCCATCTCCACCGTCATCTCCTCCGCAATGTATTGATATGTTATCCACGTTGTCTGAGAGCACGTCCTCACCGTGGTCACTCAGGGCTGGCTCGTCGGCGTTTGCTCTCGACGGGCTCATCCAGCTGTACGAAGGAGAAAGAGAGGAAAGGAAGCTCTTCTCGTCACCATGGTCGCTCTGAGGCTCTGGGTCGGCCCCCTCGCCACCGTCAATGCCGTCGTCGTCGGGGCCCTCGTCCTGGTCATCCTCGTCCTCCAAGTCGTCGAGCTCGTCGGCCCACCCATTATCATCTTCTCGCTTTCGTTTTTTCGTTTGGGGTTTGGCCAATGGCGCGTGAACTCTCGGTCGTCGGAGACATGGCCAACCACTAGCTGCGACGGGCGGATTGGAAATTGGGGCTTCGACGCGGATTGTGCCAGCATAACGGGGATTGTCCAATTGCTCGGCTTTGAAAAATACAGGTACAACATGGAGGCTACCTCGTAGTTTGTCAGGTAATCGCCCAAGCAATCCAGCACGATTGAGCCATCATCTAGCAGGCCATTATCCGCGGTCGTGCACTGGCGATAAGTTGGCCTATACGGTGGGAAGTACATCATACCGACATGGAGGTAAGTCTTAAACTCGCCCAATGGGGCCCTCGTCACTTGCGCCTTCCCCCGCGTCGGCGCTGATCTCACTCACCTGTTCTGTCTGGCGATGAATCGTGACAACTAGGTGGCCATCCGCCAGGGCACTTCTGACAGAAGCATCCTTGCAATCGGCCTTGATTCCACTATCCACCCAACGTTTGAACTTGAAAATGAGGTCCCCCTTGGCTCCGCGCAGGCACACGCCAGCTTCGAGACACGTTGGTTTCTCAGTAGGTTTTTTCTTGGGCTCCTCGAAAGTTGTTTGAGAGGCATCTTTCTTCTCTGTGTGCAGTCCTGCTAAGAAGCCGAGGACATTCTCTCTGACCGTTGCGTACTCGAATAGACCAAGTAAACCCACCATCCTGGGGATGATCTTCCTGACGGGGCAGAAATACTCCAGGACGTAGGAGCCGCCAGAATGAGGCCGAGCGACGAGACCGTTTACCAGAGGAGCCATCAACGGGGGCTTGGAAATGAAATCGTTCACATGTGTCGCGCCCTTGGTCGCCCTCCATTTGGATAACTGCATGGCTGTATCGTGGGACGCGCGCTTCTTGATGCGCCTGAGCAAGTACTGATCTGCCTTGAGCTCGCGCACGTGCCTCGTGACGTCGTCGAGTGGGAGAGCAAGCGCATGGGCGCTCGCTGCGCGCCCTGGCATGCGACTCGCCTGCAAATGCTGTTCTGCATTGCGCCGCCTGACCTGGATGCTCATCACTGCGGCGAGCTCCTTCGAAACTGTGCCGAAGGACATGTGACCAGCCTTGTGCAGGAGGGTGCCAAGTCGGCCCTCCCGCTCGCGCACTGCCTTCTCGTCTGGGGAGAGCGCTCGGTAGGCAGCCGCCGCCACCTGCAGGACAACCTCCCCTACGACTTTGGCGCGAGCTGCGATGCATGCTCTCCAAGCCCCCCCTCCGCCCCTCTTTGCCGATGGAGCCTCGGCCTCGGGGGCGCTCGCGCCTCGGCGCACAGGCTTCCGCCCCCCCTTCTTGAAGCACCCTGCGGGCTTCAGAATCCGATCCTCTCTCGTAGACGCCCTCCTCAGCACGAACCTGGAGCTGATACTGCTCAGCTCGGGCCTCTTAGACTGCAACGACGTGGCCAGCGCTTGTCTCCTGAGCTGCGCATTCTGAGTCTCCAGCTTCACTGTCGACGCCTTGGAAGCCATCACGACAAGGCTCAACTCGTGCAAAGCTTCGTCGCTCGTCAGCCCCCCTGGCTTATCCTTGAAGTATTCGATGAAGTTGTCGCTGAACTGATCACGGCTCGACCTGCACGAAGCCTCGATGTCCGCCGCCAAAGTTGGATCGTCGAGCAGCAAGAACAACCTGAAAGGAAACTGTTTACCAATCGCGGTCCCGAACTGATAAGTGCAACACCCTTCCCTGGAGAGCATCCTGCACAGCTTCGTCTGGTTCTCGAGCGTCATGTATTCCGCTGCCAGACAGTCCAGCTCGAGAAACTTCGACACCGCCTCTATGTCTTTAAAGCACTGGTCCTCCAATGTCTGCCTCGCCACGCGCATCAATGGCCACTCCCTCCCCCCCAAGACCGTCGAGTTGCCGTCCGAAGAGATGAGGGCAGCGTCCTGCTTCATCTCCCACTCCTCGCTCGCCATTTCCAACTCCTTTTCCAAGAACGCCTTGATGGGCCCCAAGACCGCCCTGAATAAGATGACCCGAATGGACGGATCCGTGGCAAGCCACTCGCGCGCTGAGCCCCGATAGGCTTTGTTCTGCTCGGCGAACGCCTTTCGGGGGTGGTCGGGCTTCTTCGCTTCAGGCGCAGGCGCTGCGTCGCCTTCTGGGCCCTCGCCCTCCTGGACGTCTGGCTCTTCGGCGCCTTCCTGATCACCTGGGACGACAGCCTCCGCGTCCAACAGCGGCAGCGGATGTTCGGGGGGCGC